GTCGCTCGTACTCGCACGCACGTGTGGTGAATCCGCAGACCGCACGTAGAAAAAGTTTTACATGCACTTAAAGTTCTACGGCGTGTCTGCGTGCTCCCAAATCCGTAGGATTCCGTACGGAGGCGGTACTCACCACGCACGGATGCCCTACGTTTGCCCACGTTTTTGCACGTAGACAGCACGCAGAAGCACGCACGGCGGGTTGTGACCGTAGCATAAATTAGGACCTCATGTGGAGTACTTGCTAGGAAAGGTCCAGCCGCGCATAGACTACTTGCGCGTAGCCAGGCGTGCTGACCTACCCACGGAAGTACTGCTGCAAATCTACAAGTCCTTTATTCGACCTGTGTTGGAGTATGGGTCCCCCGTCTGGGCCGGTCTTTCGCGTTGTCTGTCAGACGAGGTGGAAAGAGTTTAGAAACTGTGCCTCAGGATTTGCGGAGTTCCCCATGGATACTTTTTTTTTATTCATTCACATGAAAAAAGGATACAGGACATGGTGATGCCTCACTCAAGTGGAAAGCACTTATGTTGACGGCACCACTAAATAAATACATATAATAAAGAAAAGAAACAATCGCAACTTTAAGACAGGCAAGAAACAGTAAATACAAGAAATTCATGAGCGCAGGTCCGGTTCCCCACCCAATGATAAATAATGGCAAAGAGGACACAGTACATAAATAACAAAGGGGGAAATTGAAATCTTTTAAAAACGTTCTGATGTGGTGATGAAGTTTTGGGTAAGTGATAATATATTGGAGTTAACAACTGATGAGAATGCGGTACTGCCACGGAGTAAAAGGTCAGTTTTTGCGTTGTCAGAAAGAGTTGTAAAATCTAAGGTGTGTCCTATGAGCCTGGATAGTTTGCCAAGGAGAGTAGATCGTTGGGAGTTGTACATGGGGCAGTGGAGTAGGTAATGTGGGACGGTTTCACATTGGCATCCGCAGGTACAAGCTGGGCTGTTCAATAATCCACGAGTAAAGAGACTGTAGTTCAGGCTGCACGTGCCAATGCGAAATCGTGCCATAAGAGCACCAGAATAACGAGGACCGTGACTAAAGTACTTAAATTTAACAGGCCTTATTGATTTGAGAAGAACTGAACGAAATTTAGAGTAATTTAGGGATCGTGTTGACAAGTCAAGGTTGTTCCAGTAGAATGTAGAATATTGAACAAAAGAATTTGCAAACCGGTTTGTAGAATGACTAAGGGGTCTTAGTTCCATGTTATTTCGAAGGTTGTAATGACATGATGAAGATATGGCTGGAGGTAATATTTCCGACAGGTAATTTCGACTTTGACCGTTCACAATCTTATAAAACAAACAAAGGCGGTGGACGTGCCGTCTGTCAGATAATGCTTCCCACCCTAGCTCCTGCCGAGTTAACGAGTAGGACGACCCCTTGACAGCTCCCGACACGACAAGGGCGCAGTGATATTGTATACGTTCTATAAGCTGTGCATTTGTACTTGTCGTGCCGTGCCAAATTACGTCGCCATACTCTAAACTGGGACGTATATATGATTTGTATAGGGTTTCCAAGACGTAACGAGGAAGTTTAAATTTGAGGCCACTGAAAAGGTCAATGCATTTGGATAACTTGGAGATAATGTGATTAATATGGGAATCCCAGGACATTTTGTAACTTAAAATAATACCAATATGTTTATGTTCATGGACAGGCTTGATAACACAGTTGTTAAGAAACAGTGGTGGCTGTGCTGGGGGTTCTCTTTTAACTGAAAATGTCATTTCTTCTGATTTGTTAGGATTTAGTTCCATGAGCCACTGAGTGGCAAACGATAGAATTTTAGACAGATCAGAATTTAGACAAGCAGCGGAATCAATTGGGTTATCAACAATATGTAAAAGAGAGGAATCATCGGCGAAGAGGTAGGGTAGGGAGATTAAATCTTTTACAATGTCATTAATATAAACTAGAAAAAACAGGGGGCCAAGGATTGAGCCCTGTGGCACACCTGCTTTTGTCTTACACCAAACAGAAGACTGGCCATCAATAACTACTCGCTGTGAACGATTACTGAGGTAACTACGTATACAGTTTAAAAGTGGCCCTTCGATCCCATTCCTTTGTAGTTTAAAAATAAGTCCTGAGTGCCACACCCTATCGAAGGCACGTGAAAAGTCGAGGTATACTGCTCGTGCATCATGTCCATTTTCTAAAGCTTTAAGTATAGTATGGGTAAAATGAGCTAATTGACAGACAGTGGAGTCTCCTTTGATAAAACCTGATTGAAAACGGAATAAAAGATCGTTGCGCATTAGGTGATTATACAGGTGTTTGTAGACTATTTTCTCAAGTACCTTGGATAGGGTGGGAAGAAGTGATATTGGACGATGATTGTGTTTGTCTTGTGGGTCTCCTTTTTTGAAAATAGGTATAGCATTAGAGAATCTCCATGTCTGGGGGAAGTGACCATGACAGAGGGACAAATTAAACACATAATATATTTTGTCTGAGATCAGAGGGGCAATGAGTTTAAGAAAGTAGTTATCGATATTGTCATAACCGTGGGCCTAACCAACTTCCAGGTTATTAACAAACAATAAAACTTCTTCAGGGGAGGTGGTGATGTGGAGGAGCCGACTGCTGGATGTCAGGTAATCTAGGGCTGGGAGGGAGGCATGTGAATCATCAATAGTAGACTGGGAAACAAAATATTGTTTGAGGATTGTTGCCTTCTCAATTGCATCGAAAATGTAAGAACTGCCCTCCTTAAGCTTGAGGGGAGGAATAGCAGACGTGACTTTTGGTCTATAAAAATATTTTACCACATGCCACCATTTTTTGCTGGAAGTAGATGGGTTATTGAGTGAATTTACAAGGCGTTGATGGTAACTAGATTTGTTTTGGGAGATGAGATTAGTGAGTCTGCTTCTCACCTTGCGGTATGCAGCCCAATTTGCATCTGAGTTTGAAAGCCTGGCTTTCTTGTGTAGTTTGTCACGAGATACTTGCCCACTCTCGAGTGCAGGAGGAGGGAGGCATCACTGAGAGAACTAAAACGGATTCTACAAGACCCCACCAACCCCTGCAATGACTTTATCCCACCAAGAGAGAACACGGTAATCTTAGGAAGAACACGTACAGCAATCAGTTTAAGCTCCTATTAAGCCGATCAGACAGACACAAAAACTCCTTCATTGTGAGAGCCGTAAAAGACTTGTGGATGTGCATTGGACATGTATA